AAGAAGCAAAGGAACTAATAGAAGTTATGACCCAATTGGGATTGACAGACATCTATAGACCATTCCATGCAAATAAAAAGGAATATCCTTCTCAGCACCACATGGAACCTTCTCAAAAATCAACCACATACTTGGCAAAATATCAAACCTCAGCAGTTTCAAAAACAAATTGGAATAACTCCATGAATCTTATCAGACCACCATGCTTTAAAATTAGAATTCAACAACAACACAAATTGCAAAAACCTCACAACCTAATGGAAATTGAACAGTGCTTAATTTCATCAACCCTGGGTAAAGGAAGAAATAGAGACAGAAATCAAAGACTTCCTAGAATTCAGTGAAAACATAGGCACAACATATACCCAAACCTTTGGGATATTTTGAAACCAGTTCTAAGAGGAAAGTACATAGAACTAAGTGCCCACATGAAGAAACTGGAGAATTGCCATACTAAAGAGTTAACAGAACACCTAACATCTCTAGAAGAAACAGAGGCAAACTCATTCAAGAGGAGTAAACACCAGGAAATAATCCAATTGAGAGCTGAAATCAATAAAGTGGAAACATAGAAAATTAAACAAAGAATCATTGAAAAAAAGGGTTATTTTTTGAGAAAAATCAACAAAATAGAAAAACTTTATCCAACCTAACCAAAAGACCGAGAGAACTTGCTAATTAACAAAATCAGAAATGAATAAGGGAACATAACAACAGACACTGGGGAGATCCAAAGAATCATCAGGTCATACTTTGAAAACCTATACTCCACTAAATTGGAAATTTTAAAGTAAATGGATGATTTTCTGGATAGATATCACTTACCAAAATTAAATCAAGGACAGATTAAAAATTTGAACAGATCTATATCCCCTAAAGAAATAGAAGCAGCCAAAATGTCTTCCACTCAAAAGAAGTCAAGGACCAGATGGTGTCAGTGCAGAATTCTACCAAAAATTCAAGGAAGGGCTAATACCATCTGAGATGGGCACAGGAGAGGCAGACAGCAAAGGGAGAGCATAGAGACAACTGCATGGAACACTACCATAGGCAGGTTTGGATCCTTTGTGCTATCATCCCATCCTGCCAGGCAAGAAATGCCCATTGTTGTCATTGGAGCAGGACTATTTTCTGGGTAGCAGAAGGCTTTCTGGTTTGATCTGAAGCACGCTCCACACATGGAAATATATGCATGGCATGGACAACCTGGCCAAAAACCTGTGAGGGTGAAGGTGGCAGTCCCTAGGACAGAATCCACTACTGACATTCTGCTACATGTACACATACTCAAACTGCCTTTCACTGACTGGAATACCACCAAAGCCAGGGGCTGCTTTTGACAGGGGTCTAAGAAACCCTGTTCTAAATGGACAATAGTTATTTCACAGACTTGTAACTCATCAAACATTGAGAACAACTGACTACTTATAGCACAGGCTCTGAAGGGAATTCCATATTCCCACATATACACTGCAGCCTACATTAAAGTAAAGGAGATAAAAGTTGATAAGAGCTGGAGGATGACGAGGGCACTGATGAAAAATTCTCCTGACTTATGACATGGCAATTGGAATTACTGATATATTACAGTCTTACTACCTGGCCCAAACACATACAAAGTCATACATGAAATATGCAAGGGACAACTGGGAGGAAATCATGTCTAACCAGTATAGAACAGAGGGTAAAAGAGGGTAAAGAGCAAATAACATTGTACAATCATTATATATCAATATTTCCTCATTGTAAAAATTAAAAACAAACTATACAAATAGAACTTGAGACGTGAATGGCTTTATAGAGGCAGGACTTCTGATTATTTTTTTCATATATAGAACAAACCAATTAGAGAAGATTTTTAATCTGTTTTTGCTTCTATTTAATTTATTCAAAGTAAACAATAAACAAAGAAAAATAGATGAAAAAAAGAAAAAAAATTAACCAAGCACAAAAGAGACAAATAAAAAAAAAAACTTCAATTCACCCAAAGAAAACAAGTTGATACTGGAAGATGAGAAAAACTTGTCTGCCCATGAAACAGAATGAATTATTGTGAAAATGACAGTGTTAAAAGACTTATTATTTTTGTGACAATCAAGGGACACAGGAACTACTTCAGAGTCAGTAAAGAGAAACTTACTAATTTATATTATTTACAAATAACAAAACTGCAAAGAAAGGCCAGAAAACGAGAGCAAAGCTTGAGTGATCCCAGCTGTGATTACACATGACACTGCAGACCCACAGGAACAACAGCTCCATGACAGTGGCAGAAGAGTGGACACGCAAATTATTAGAGGGCAGCAGATTCAGAATCAATTTCATCTGCTGCAACCAATAGAATTTCACCCAAATGCCAAAAACTTACTTACCTGACAGAATAAGCAGACTCATCAAACCAGTGTTGTAGGGAAAGTAAATAAATATCCACATATAAAAGAAGGAACTAGCCGGGCGTTGGTGGTGCACACGCCTTTAATCCCAGCACTTGGGAGCCAGAGGCAGGCGGATCTCTGTGAGTTCGAGGCCAACCTGGTCTACAAGGTGAGTTCCAGGACAGCCTTGAAAGCCACAGAGAAACCCTGTCTCAAAAAACCAAACCAAAACAAAACAAAAAACAAAAACAAAAACAAAAAGAAGGAACAAGGTCTAAATCAATGAATTGATGAAATTTGACTATGTGCAACTGGAAAAAACCTGCAAGAAATTGTAATAACTGAAACTAGGAAGAAACAGCCTCCAGGATGCAGACATTTATTAGCAAACACTTCATAATACAATACATAAACACCCCGTGTTTACCAAGAAGCTTAAAATATACCAAGTAAATACTATAAGGAAGAAATAAGGCCAGGCATTGGTGGTGCATGCCTTGCATCCCAGCACTTGGGAGGTAGAGGCAGGCAGGGTTCTCTTTTTGTATGAGGTCAGCCTAGTCTACAGAGTGACTTCTAGGACAACCAGAGCTATTGCCATGAGAAACCCTGCCCTCCCTCCCCAAAAAGAGACATAAACAAAAGAGAGTGACAATGCAGAAAAGTTTACATAGTGAAAATGTAAACAACACCAGCTGCAGACCTTTACTAATGAAGAAAATGCTCATCTAATGTGCACTGAGAACTCTGTGCCCAGTCAGTATCCACACTCAAGGACTTTAATAAAAACAATCCCTGGAGAAAATGCAGGAGAAAGAAAGCACAGAGACAGTGTCAGCGGGAATGCACCTATCTGCTGACACCAGGCAAGTCAGTGTGTAGTTTTGTGAACAGCAAACAAACAGAAAACCTAGAGAAACTAGTAGTCAGGTTTACAAAGGAATGAAAGACACTGCATGCTATCTTTCAATAGAAACAATCTCAGAAAGAGGAAAAGAAACACAACAGAGAAAAAATAACAAACTACTATGTGTTTATATTTTAATTCATATCTACAAATGTACATGTATAATATGCCCCAAACCCAACATGTAATCGAGTATATCTTCAAAAGAAGGATACACATTTTCCTTAAAAAAGGAAAAAAACACTCTAAAATCAAAATGTATACTTTCCATTAAAGTATTTACTTCAAATATAAGGATACAAACTGCTAAAGGTGAAGGAATTTCTAAAACAACATTTCCTGTCAGGTGAGTTGGTCATGATATGGTTGCTATTAAAAAAGTTATTTATCCATATATAAAACAAAGAGAATTAACAAATGACCAAATGGTATATTTCCAAAAAGCTATGAGACACACAAGAAAGCATTCTCGAAAACACTTTCCAAATTTAAGGAACAACCCACAATACAATTGTTGGAAGCAAACAGTCGAGAAAGAGATTCTTCCAAATATCGCCAAGAATTTCCCATGTACCATAAATGAAATGTGCTACAAATTGTCAATAGGATAAACTCGGAGAGAAAATATCAAGAAAAATGTCTCTTTCTCTGAGGATTTCACTTTAACGGTGAGATGTGAGACTATTTCAAACACAGCTCACAGACATGCTGAGTAGTTTTCCAGGAACCCTGAGGAGGAGAAAGGAAGACTGCAAGAAACTATTCTCACACCAGAACAATCACTGCTGTAGTTCTCTAGCAGGAGATCTCTGTAAATGCACTGTGAGCATGGCTGAGACATTCCCACTCCTCCTACAACAGACCAACAGGCACAGCATTGATCATGAAAGAAAAGAAAAACCACACTCCGGCAAATGTGCATGGGCAGAGACCCTTTCTTCAACAAAAGAGACATTTTCAGATACAGGTGAGCGACTATAAATATTCAAAAGATGCTTCATAATTTCATTTTCATTTAAAGTGAGTTTGCTAATTGAAAATTATGTGACATGATATATTATCACAGCATGCATGTTGACCTTGCCTGGATCTATGATGTATCATGAGAACACAGCACATGAAGACACATTTCTGAATGCTGTATTTACATCTAAGATTGCACATGGATATGACGGAAAATAATGGGATGTAAAACGTTACATTAACGTTTACAAGCATATGTGTGAAAAAGGAAAGGAAACACAGAGTAATGGCCACTTCATGGTATCTTAAACCTGCCGTCCGTGGAAAGATATGAACGACAGAATATCGAAAGCTGTGTCTGAAAGGATAAGGCGGCGGACACTGGGTACCTAACAGCGCACTCCATGAGCAACAGGTCTAGGTGAGCGCGTGCCTGGGGAGGAGGATGAGCAGAAGGGAAGGCCGTCTAGGAGCAGGGCCAGGAGAGACGAGACCCCCAGACAGAGAAGCGGTCAGAGAGCAAACCAGGATTGAGACAGAAGCGGGACAGGCGGCACTTTTAAGGGGCGCGCGTGGCGTACGGGGAGGAGCCTGGCTCTTTCGGACAGAAACGACCACACCAGGCCACTGGTGACGACCTGAGCAGCAGCCTCCCCGCCCCGGGCGCCTGCAGAGCTGACAGTGTCCTTGTGAGCAGCTCAGCGGGCACAGCCCCGCCCCTCCCTCCCGGGTCCCAGGCCCGCGGCTCCTCTGACCTGGGAGGTTCCAGGGCCGCCGGGCTGCGGTTCCCGCCACTGCGCTGCTGCTGACGCTGACTTTCCCAGGCCGCCCGCCCCGCGCGGACACTGCGGCTCCGGACTTTCAGTTTCCCTCGGACCCAGGAAGAATTTCTTATCAGGTTTGGACCAGGAGGATCCCCGAGTACAACAGGGAATGGAGGAATTTCCGGTTCCTTCAGCCTGGTTCCCCAGAGAAGCTCCTCCTTGCTCCGCCCACAACTCTTGGCTTCTGGTTTCCTGCCCTGTAAAGCCGCCAACCACGGGATCATTTACATAACGGCTTTCATCAGGCAAGCTTACTGCACACACATACAAGCTGCCCAAGCACCCAAACACGTCAAATCAAATCAAACCAAAACAAATCCCCAAACCTAGTGGAACATGGTCTGCTAGGACCATTTAAATCTCAACAGGCAACAAAGAGAGGAACGTTTAAATTATTTGCTTCTAACTGTGTCTGCCTAGAAAGTATGTGATGAGCAAACAGCTGTCTAATGAGCTCTCCACTTCAAAAAATGAGAAAAAAATAAAGAAAAAAAATCCAATCAACCAAAAGAATAATGGTCACAAATTACATTAAGAAAATGGCACAAGGAGGACCATTCTAATGACTGGAGGTAATGTAACTCATACAAATAGAGAAATACAATCTGAGTTTGCAGAAATCACAAGGTGAATGGTCCCCTATACTTCCCTCCAAAGAGGAAGCATTAAAAAAAACTTTTTAACATGTACAGATTTATCCATATAAGTCAGCAAATTTCAGGTTATGAAAGAAGGAAAATGATTAGTTTAATATAGTCACAACAGACATACGGTAAATTTTCATCGTTGGTCATTATGAAGGATTTTAAGATTCATGCAATAGGAAGAACATACTTCAGTACAATGTATATTACAAGCCACAATCCTATATACACCATTAAACACAATGTGGAAAAATGGAAAGAGTCCAGACACCTCATATTCTCTTTGCAAATTACCTCAGTACAAGATGTCAATTGTTGCTCAAACAAGAGAAAAAATGTGATTCTAGAGCATTAAATAACTTTTCCCAAACAGTTAGTGACATAAAACTGAATATCAACAGTTACAAATATTGTTGGGAGCTAGCCCAAGAGAGCAGGAATGGAAGGACCTTCTAAGTCTATTGCACTGAACATGGAATAACAAGATATTGACTTGCCCACCTTTTGTTTTGTCTTACTTTACAATTGTTTTCTCACTATGAACCTTTACTTCTATTTTCGAGTGGTAATGTGTATTCCTTTCCATTTCATGTTGAAACAATATTTTTGTTTTAGAGCACGTTACATTGAAGAGATTGCCTTGAGCCTTGGATAGACTTCACACTCTAAAACATTGTTAAGTCTATGAAAGTTTGTGGGGAATATTGTGGTCCCACTGAATGAATTTTTCATTAAATATGGCTATGCATACATGTGGGTCACAGTGTAGAATAAATTATTTCTTGCGTTTACTAGAGTTGTGTTATTTCTCTTTTGTATGCATGGTCTGACTTGTTCATGTTGTTTTTCTGTGTGTGCAGTGGTTTCACCTTACTGTGGTCTGACACAATACATTCAATACCCTGTTGCTCAGGACCAGGCCTGGTTCGATTTCTGGTCTTGATATCACAGCCATCATATGTAGTATTTAACTAAGTCTCTATTGTTTTATTTACCAATACAGACTCTTGAGTTAGATGTTGGGGTGAAAATCTGCCACTTCAGGGGGCATGAAGCAACCTGCTCATCTTCCTCTTTGCACAGAGACCAAGCAAGAGAGTGTCCCTCCAACCACCTCAAACCAAAAAGACTGAAAAACTCCCAAGTTAATTCCTCCTCCTTCCTGTGTGCCTATCTGTCTGCCATTCACCTCCATGTACTCTGGCAAATTCCTGTCAACTAGTTCTGAATTCCACCCCTAATCCACGTTTGATATTATTAACACTCAGATGTCAGAGGGTGATCAATTTCCTACAACATATTCTGAGAGAAAGATTTTCTCACATTTGCTGCATTATCATGTTTATCAAAGGTTTACATTCTCTTTTGAGGTCCAAGTTTGTATTTTTTGAGTAAAGGATTTCAAGCATTCATCACAATGTGTAAGGTTTCTCACCTGTATGAGTTTTCAGATGTCTTCTAAGATGTGAGACAACTAAAAGGATGTCATATTCACTATATTAAAAGGGCTTTCATCGTGTATGAATTATCTGATAATTTTTAACATTCCCTTTCCTGGAAAAGGATGTCACATTCACTACATTTGTAATGTTTCTCACCTCTATGTATTCTATTATGGATTCTAAGCCTGCCTTTCACGGTAAAATTACTTGTTATATTCACTACATTTGTAAGGCTTCTCTCCTGTATGGATTCTTTGATGATCTCTAAGACAGCCTTTCCTGGGAAAGGATTGATCACAATCACTACATTTCTACGGTTTCTCTCCAATATAGATTCTCTGATGAGTACTTAGACTGCTTGTTGTGGTTAAGGATGTGCACATTCACTGCCTTTGTAAGTTTTCTCTCCAGTATGGATTCTCTGATAAGTTCTAAGACTGTGTTTTTCACATTCACCATGTTTATAATGTTTATCACCTGTAAGGATTCTATGATGAAGTCTAAGACTTCTTTTCTGGGTAAAGGATTTGTCACATTCAGTACACTTGTAAGGTTTCTCTCCTGTATGTATTGTCTCATGGAATTGAAGATTACATTAATGGGCAAAAGATTTATCACATTGGAGAAACACTGGAGACCTGAGGACTGCACACAGCAGAGCTGGATCCCAGCCAGAAGGGATGCAGCCTGCACAGAGACTCACAGCTTTCAAGTCCCAGTTTCCACCCATGGGAAGGGGGAGGTGTGGCAAGCCTAAATTCCCATGGCCTGAGCAGACAAATGGAGACCTAAGAACTGAACACAGCTGATCCAGATCCCACACTGGCGGGATTGAGCCTGCCCAGAGACTGCCAGCTTCCAAGTCCCAGTCTCCTCCAATAGGATAGGATAAACAAGGGTCCAGACTACCCAGAGTTTGCTAAGGTCCCGATACTAGGATGGCCTTTATCCACACAAGAGGAAAGCCACCATATGGGACCTGCTCCCACCCACTGGAAAGGGGTCACATACCCACAAGTGGAGGAAGAGCCTCCTTTTGCAAAGACAGGAAGATATAATGGGAAGAAGACAATACAAAAACAAACCCATCAACAGAAAACAAGTATGACACCACCAGAAACTAGAGAGTCTACTCCCGCAAGACCTGAAGAGTCCATTGCCGAAGAATACAAGAACTGCAAGATATGGAGGAAAAGCAATCAAAAAATGCTAGAAATGGAAGAAAAGACAAACCAAAAACTTTAACAAATACAACAAAGAGAGGAAAAGACAAAGCAAAAATTACAAGAAACAATTTAAAAAGTACAAGGTATGAAAGCTGAAATAGAGACAACAATTAAAAAAACACCCTGAAGGAATGCTAGAAATAGAAAAACTTGGCAAATGGTCAGGCATAACAGATACAAGCATAGCCAACAGAATACGCGGCATGGAAGACAGAATCTCAGGTGTTGAAGATACACTAGGGGAAAGATATTCATCCACCAAAGAAAATCTAAAGTACAACAAATCCCTAACACAAAATATCCAGGAAATATAGGACACCATGAAAAGACCAAACCTAAGAATAATAGGTATAAAGGAAGGTGAAAAAATCCACCTTAAAGGGGGAGAAAACATATTCAACAAATTCATAGAAGAAAACTTTCCCAACTTAAAGGAAGACATGCTATGAAGGTACAAGAAGCCTACAGAACACCAAATAGAATAGACAACTAAAGGAAATCCCCTCACGACATAATAGTAAAACCCACGAACATACAGAATAAAGAAAGAATACTAAGGGCAGCAAAGGAAAAAGCACTAAATAACATACAAAGGCAAACCTTTCAGCATCACCCCTGACATCTCGATGGAAACTCTGAAAGCCGGAAGGTCCTGGATAGATATTCTACCAACACAAAAAGCATATGATGCCAGCCCAGACTGCTATACCCAGCAAAGATTTCAATCAACATAGATGGAGAAAACAAGATATTCCACAACAAAACCAGATTTAAACAATATGTATCCACTAACCCATGCCTACAGAAAGTTCTGGAAGGAAAAGCCCAACCCAAGGGAGTTAACTACAACCAGAAAAACATAGGCAATAGATAATTTAACCTTTAGAATGGCTAAAAGCAAAAACACCAACAACAATTTATGCTCGAGAGGATTTGGTGAAAGAGGAACACTCCTCCACTTGTACAGCCACTTTGGAAATCAGTGTGGAGAATCCTCATAAAAATGTGAATAAACCTGCCACAAGACCCAGCAACTCCACTCTTAGGCACATATCCAAAACATACCCATTCATACAACAAGGATGTCTGTTCCACTATGTTCATAGCAGCAGTATTTGTCATAGCCAGAACTTGGAGGCAACCTAGATTTCCCTCAACCGAAGAGTGGATACAGAAAATGTGGTACATTTACACAATGGAGTACTATTCAGCAGAAAAAAATGGAATCCTGAAATTTACAGGCAAATGGATGACACTACAGGAAACCAGCCTGAGCAAGGTAACCCAGTCACAAAAGGAGAAACATGGCATGTACTCTCACATATATGGATTTTAGACATAGATCTGCGGAGTGCCAGCCTAAAATCCAATGGGAATAGAGTTTGGGAAATAGAAACTTCATTCAGTGGCTGATGGAAGCAGAGCAGACTCCCCAAGCTAAGCACTGAGCTGAACTCAAGAAATACAATGACAGAGAGGGAGGACTGATGACCAAAGGGGTAAACACTTGACTGTTTTAACCCCCAAAAACAGCTGCCCTGAGAAGGGTTAGCCCTTGAATCCCAGACTGATGGCTGGGAATCCAGCATGGGATTGATTAAGACCCCCTGGTTGTGGGTGTCAGTGCGGAGGCCTACATAAATATATTGAGCCTTGAGTAGTAGATTAGTATTTATCCCGGGTATACAAATGGACTTTGGATTCCCATCCAACAATGAGAGATGCGCTCTCACCCTGAACTCTTGCGGGAGGGTCTAGGCACTGCCCTGGATGAAATGACAGACTTTGGACACCTGCATGGATGTTCTCACCCTTCCTGCAGAAATGAGGAAATATTGGAGGGGGGTAGGTGGGAGGGCATGGTACGAG